GATAATAGAATTTTTCTCCAAATTTTCCAAATACAAATGGACTAGACATTGTGAATGTAATTCTTATCTGATAGCTGTTCTTATTGTATATAGGTTTTACTGTGTTAGAGTTAAAATCTTTCCTTTTTATTTAGCTAAAAAGGCAGAAATGTTACAGGATATTTGTTTATACTGTGTGAAGATGTGTCACTGTGATTGGTTTAATAAAGAGCTGAATGGCCAATAGCTAGGCAGGAGAGGGCAGGTGGGATTTCCAGGGAGAGAGAGGAACTTGGAAGATGAATCTATGTAGCTGGAGTTTTCTCCAGTCCTGCCTGGCCCATAGTCAGGGCAAATCTCTCTCACCCACCAGTCCCACAGCCACTCAGACCCAACCAAGTAAACACACAGAGACTTATATTGCTTACAAACTGTATGGCCGTGGCAGGCTTCTTGCTAACTGTTCTTATATCTTAAATTAACCCATTTCTATTAATCTATAAGTTGCCACATAGCTCGTGGCTTACCGGTATCTTAACATCTGCTTCTCATCATGGTGGCTGGGAGTGTCTCTCTGACTCAGCCTTCCACTTCCCAGAATTCTCCTCTCTGCATGTCCCACCTATACTTCCTGCCTGGCTACTGGCCAATCAGCTTTATTTATCAATCAATCATCCACAGCACTTCCCCTTTTCTTTTTTTCAAAAAGGAAGGTTTTAACTTTCACATAGTACAATTACATATAATAAAACAGTTATCTAGCAAGAATTACAGTTACAATATCTAGTCTATTTGTATTTGGCAAAATTAAAGAAGATATCCTATCTATTTTATATTTGTAAGTCTGAGGTTTCATATCTAACTTATCTCTTATCATAACTAAGGAAATTATAACTATCTAGTCTTCAACTACATCAAAGACCTCAGAAGGATATAATATTACCTGAGAAATGGGAGAAGGATGCAAGCAACGTTCAGGAGTCTTGCAAGAGTAGATAGAGACAGCTGGCAGCCTGGACAGTCACCTAATGTTCCTTTATAAAGTTGGGGCATCTGTCTTCAGCCCACAGGCCTAGAGTCTCTCAGTCACTTCTCTCTGTGTCCTGTAGAATGTCTGGCAGTTTCCTCTGCAAAGCAGGAACCTGAAGGACCATTTTGCCAAGCAAAGTTCAGTGGTCACCTTCCTATGGGTCCTGCATGTCCAGTCAATCAAGCAGTCCAGGCAAGAACAGTTTCTTGCCCAAATGGCTATTTTTGCCAAGGTGAAGATAAACTCCATATGGAATGTCTTTGATGCCCATCCTCCTCTCTGAAGTAAATCAGTACTGCCAGGAGCAGACATGTCTCACTGTCTAGAAAGTCTAAATGTTTTCAACATTTTAAATGCCATATTTTGTAGGTTTTTGAAGTGTTTGAAGATTACCTATCTATTTGAAATATATCTATGTATACCTAGGAAACTTAACTAACATGGCTACAAGTTTTACTAACATAGAAGACTAATTATTAATCTGTATTTCTTAATTATCCATTACAATTTAAATGAGTTACATAAACATAATACCTCAAACAAGAATAGAAATATATATACAGTATAATAAAATTAACTTCAAATTTGTATCAATAAACTAAAATCTACAGCAATGTAAAACATTTCTAAGCAAGTTGCTCTTTAAAAGTAGGTTCAATAATCTACGCTTTCATCCTATCATATCTATATCCCCTTTTCTTCTTTAGAAAGGCATTGCATTTATAATCAACTGGCTTTAAATAAAAATATTGGTTTTTCTCTGTAGCTAGAGTTTTCCTGCCTGGCCCACGGTCAGGACAAATCTATCTCACCCGCCAGTCCCACAGCCACTCAGACCCAACCAAGTAAACACACAGAGACTTATATTACTTATAAACTGTATGGCCGTGGCAGGCTTCTTGCTAACTGTTCTTATATCTTAAATTAACCCATTTCTATTAGACTATAAGTTGCCACGTGGCTCATGGCTTACTGGTACCTTACATCTTGCTTGTCACCGGCAACTGGCAGCATCTCTCTGCCTCAGCCTTCCACCTCCCAGCATTCTCCTTTCTGCTTGTCCCACCTATACTTCCTGCCTGGCTACTGGCCAATCAGTGTTCTATTTATTAACCAATCAGAGCAACACATTTAACATCCAGACCATCCCACAGCAAATCTAGGTGTGGGGGGAGATGCCAGTGAGACACAGAGGGAGGCAAACATACAGAAAGGAGGAAAGGTAAAAAAGCCACATTGACAGAATGTAGATTAATAGAAGCAGGTTAATTTAAGTTATAAGAACTCGTTGGGAATGAGCCTAAGCTAAGGCCAAGCTTTCATAATTAATAAGAAGTCTCTGTGTCATTATTTGTGAGCTGGCGGCCCAAAGAAAGACCTACTACAAGATCTTTTTTATTTCATATGTTACCAAAACAGCATATATTGCTACAGTCACCAATTTGAAGAGCTTTGAAAAGTATCTTGACAACAATATAACGTGTTTCCTTTCTAATACCCTACATTTTTTTACTTTAGTTCATATACCTAAAAATATAATTCTCTAGAGAACTGAATTTATATTCATCAAAGGACACAAAAAGTTTTTAAAGATCATTGGACTGGATAATCAGTCATAGCTCCTCAGGCAAAGTAGTTCTGCCTGCAATCCCAGTACTTTGTAGGCTGAGACAGGAGAATTACCAATACAAAATCTTGAGTTTGAAACAAATCTGGGTTCCATAGTGAATCTTGGGGCAGCTTGGGCTACAGAGTAGCAAGACCCTGTCTCAAAAGAAACAAACAAAATTTATTATCTTTTCTGATGTGACTATTGTCCAATTTTGGGAGCAGTGAGGTAGCTCAGAAGATAAAGGTGCTTGCCATGCAAGTCTGACAACTCTAGATCCCATGGTGGAAGAAAAGAACAGACTCTGGAAATTTGTCCTCCTACATCCACATGCATACCATGTCACATGAGGACCTGCATTCAAAATCACACACACACACATACACACACTTAATTTTAAAAGGTTATCTGAGTCAAGGATTTCTAAAATAGGTCAGTAGGGAATAAAGGAAAAATCCAACTTCCAGTGGTGAACAAATACATCAGCTAGAGAGAAAGGATTGAAAGCAAATCAGATAGTTTACAAACAGTGCAATCAACGACATTTCTGAATTCAGGCTCACAGGAAGGGGAAATGGACTTAAAAGACCTGGTTAATAATTCAGACTCAGCTGTGAAAGGTCAGCTACCACATATAAGCACAACAAATGAAATATTTGATATTGAGGTTGATATTGATTTGATATTGATGAAAGCTAGCTAACAATAAGCCTAGCTAAATAAGATATTTTCTTTCAAATGAAAGATGAAAAGATAATTTTTCTAAGTAAAGGTGAAATTATCAAGGAACACCAAAAAATTTTTTAAAATAATGTGTTATTTTAAAAAAAAACTATAAGGCAAACAGAAAAGCAGAGTACTGGCTTGATGGTGGAGGCAAGAGAAAGACCACCAAATGCATGAATCAGTTCCTCTCTGACCTTGAAGGACCTTATAATTTCAGCAACAGGCAGTTCACCTACTAATAATACACGGAAATGAAATAGGGAGGGGACAGAACACCATGAAGTGTGTAAGCCAAATTAGAAACAGCTTGTCACTATTTCCAGAGTGAAACACCATGTGAGGGATTATGTTGATCCCATCAAACTCTGGGTCCCTCTTTAGCCCTGGGCCACCTCAACTTCATATTTCACATGATCAGAAACTTACTTTTCTAAAATCAAACTATCTTAAAATTTACTTCTTTCCATTTGAAATGTGTTTTTATTTGTTACTGTCCTCAATTTTTTAGTAACTCCAACTGCAACACATTGATTTTAAGTAATCCCCAATATGATCATCATTTTGTTAGACATTACAACTAGACTGTGTTTTCACCCAATTCCTCCCATAAAATTGTTTTCAGAAAGCAGCAAGGATGTTGAGTTAACATGGCATATGGGAGAGAATACATACAGAGAGAAGATTTTTTTCTAAGTAAAAGTATTTATCTGCCCAGAGACCTATGGTACCAAACACGACTGGAAAAAATAATCAATGAAATGATTGCCAATGATATTCTACTATATTCATAGATCGGTAACTAATCTTGTCATCACCAGAGAAGCTGCCTCTGGCAACCGATGGGAACAGGTGTAGAGACCCACAGCCAAAAACTAGGCAGAGAGAAGTCCAGGTTGGAGGCCTCCATTGGGTCCCTCCCCTTGGAGCTTGGGGAACCCAGTGAAAGAGGAGGAGGAAGAATTGAGAGCCAGAGGGGTGGAAGACACAAGGGGGAGAACATGGCCAGAATCGACTAAGCAGGAATCAGAGGGGCTCACAGTGACTGAAGTGGCAATCACGGAGCCTGCGTGGGGTCTACGCTAGGTCCTGTGTATATATGTTATACGGTTTGTTGTGGCGGGGGGACTCCTGGCAGTGAGAGTGGGGGGTGTTCTGACTCTTTGCCTGCTCTTGAGAGCCTTTTCCTCCTACTGGGTTGCTTCAATGTGTGTTTGAGGGTTTGAGCCTGATCTTATTGTATCTTCTCGTGCAGTGTTTGATGTCCCTAGGAGACACGTTCTTTTTTTTGGGGGGGGGGGGGGGGCGGTAGGGAGAAGAACCTGGGGAAGAGGGAAGGCTGGGGGTCTGGGAGGAGTGGAGGGAGGGGAAGTTGTGGTCAGGATGTATTGTATGAGAGAAGAATAAAGTTTTAAAAATTTAAAGTATCCATTACTTTAGCTTTTAATACTAAATATGTAACTTAAATATTTATTTACGTCAATAAAGTGTGAAATACCTGCGACTTTCCTGGACATTATTCAGCTCACTGTCACTAATGAAAACTGCGTTTTAAACTAGCATTCTCAGAAAGCCAGCCAAGCCAGCAACTCCTCAGGCCAGAGGGCCACATCCCACCAAGGCCCCACCCCTCAGGCGCAGTTCTCCTCAGATACTCACTTTCCCGACATGCTCCGCTGCTCGAAAGGCGCCATCGCCAAGAACGCCCTCGCCTGCTCAAGCAGCGCAGGAGAAACCCGCCAGGGGGCGCCGAGATCCCCGGCTGGCCACCGAGCACCGCAGACCCTAAGGCCCGCCCAGCTCGCCGCTCCAGAAACGTCAACACGTCTGTTCCGCCCTCTCTCAGACTGCCAGCTAGGCAGACTCTGATGCGCATGCGCAAACACGTCTGCCACGCGCCGAGCTACTGCGCATGCCTCCTCTGAGAACTGTCTCCGCCCCCTTTCCCCGCCGCAGTTTCCCTTTCCGGCCCCGCCCCACCCCCGGGAGGTGGGGCTAAGGTGGGAACATGAGGCTGTCGCTTGCCGCCGCTATCTCCCACGGCCGCGTCTACCGCCGCTTGGGCCTCGGTCCCGAGTCTCGCATCCACCTGCTGCGGAACTTGCTCACGGGCCTAGTGCGCCACGAACGTATCGAGGCGTCATGGGCACGCGTGGACGAGATGAGGGGCTACGCGGAGAAGGTGAGAGCCGGGTCCATCCTCAGAGGACCGCCCTGGCCGTGTGTGGGGAGTAGGGCCACACTGGGAAACCCCTGCACGAAAGTAAATCCCGTGGCACTCAACTGAGCACGTTACCCCGGCGCTGCAAATGGAAGGCTGGTTGGGGCCGCGGAGTTAGGAGCGCCCTGAATTAGCTTAGCTAGTGGGATGTTTGGATGAAGCTAAGACATTAGGAGACAAAGGTGGGTACCTCGGTTCTTGCTCGTGTTGTTGCATCAGTGATGTTTTGTTCTCACAGCTTATCGACTATGGAAAGCTAGGAGACACCAACGAACGAGCCATGCGCATGGCTGACTTCTGGCTCACTGTGAGTGCTCCCTGCCTTCCTGATAGGGAAGGAATCGTTAGAGGACCGGGTACAAGGCAGTTTTAAGCCAGGGTACTCACTTATATACCAGTGTTGTGAACTACCTTAGACGAATGTTTCCCTTATTTGAACCGGAAAAGAATGTGCATTCGCACAACTGCCTACAAGTGGTTCTGTGTAACTTGGTACATGATTGGGTGGTGGGGAAAGCCCGTGAAGATGTTTTGAACCCTACCTCTGGGAATAATTGAAAGTTAAATGCCTCTACGGTTGTGACTGTTTTCTTCCTGTTAACTCTCCCCATCTAGGAGAAGGACTTGATCCCAAAGCTGTTTAAAGTACTAGCACCTCGGTTCCAAGGTCAGAATGGGAACTACACAAGAATGCTGCAGATCCCGAATCGGAAGGAGCAAGATCGGGCCAAGATGGCAGTGATCGAATATAAAGGGAACTGCCTCCCTCCCCTGCCTCTGCCTCACAGAGACAGCAACCTCACTCTCCTAAACCAGCTACTACTGGGACTGAAGCAGGACCTGCACCATAACCAGGAAGCAAGCCTCCACAGCTCCCACACGGTTCAAACGCCAAAGACTTAACTGGAGCAGGAGAGTGCACGGCTCTCATAGGTGTGTTCACAGGCCTTGGAGCTCTTATAATGCGGGAGAACTGGAAGTGGCCTGTCGAAATGGAGCCCAGATCTTACTGCTGGCTCATGGTCCTCTCTTTGCACAATAGATAAAATTTTGATGTGACTGTATGAAACTGATTTTCTTTTCTTTCCTGGGATTTCTGGAAAGTGAGAGGCACCTAAGATAGTAAATTCACAGCTTGTGTTTCTGAATCTTGGGTCCAGTTTTGCTTTGCTTATTGGTGGGAGAGGGGAGTCTTACGATGTAATCCAGGCTGCAGCCAACATAACAGCTGTCCTCCTGTCCCTGCCTCCCAAGTGCTGGGCCTTCCAGTGTTCACCACCACACAGGGCCGGTTGCTTATCTTTTGTTTTTTATTTTTTTGAGACGGTTTCTTCAGGATGGCCTCCTGAATGCTGGAATTAAAGGTGTCAACTGCCTGGCTTGGTTTGCTTATCTTACCACTTATTTAGATGGGCCCTATATCTCTTGATTACTACCTTCCTATGGTGACTGTGGTTGATATCCAGCCTAGAGACCCACCCCTTGGGATTTCTTTTTTGTTTGGGGCTTTTTGTTTTGTTTTTGTTGTTTGGTATGAGTGCACTGTCTGCATGTATGCTTGCGTTCCAGAAGAGGGCATCAGAGCCCATTGCCACCATATGGTTGCTGGAAATTGAACTCAGGACTTCTGGAAGAGCAGCCAGTGCTCTTAACCGCTGAGCCATCTCTCCAACCCAGCCCCTTTTGTTTCGTTTTTTATGATATAAGTTATAATGTATTTTGATCATACTCACCACCACCACCACACATACACACCATTGTTCCTCTTTACCTAGTCCCCTTTCACTTTCATGGGTTTGTGTGTGCTTGTGTTTATGATCTGGTGAGTTTCGTTAGGCCTGCTTACAGGAGCTGAAGAAAAGCTCCCTCCCTTAGCAGCCATTAACTGCCTATGGATCTACATGGAGCGAGAGAGCCACCTGAGCCTCTTCTCCCTCCTTGACAGGACTTTTACAGGCTGCTAAGAGAAGCATTCAATCCCAAGAGATTGCTTCCTGATAAGTAGCAGTGTGAACCTCTGTGAGGAAAGCTTTAAATAGCCTGGTACCCCTAAAACTGAAGGGGGAATACCGCAAGCATTGTTTTTAGGCAAGGTCACACATTCCATTTATGTGTTTCCCTCAACCTCTGAATGAGTTTTGAATGTGGACTCAAAGAGATGCACCACCACCCTGCACATAGATGGGGTGTAGGCATCTGACAGGATGTTGGCCTTCCAGATAAGTTCCTTCCTCTTAGTAGAGGGTGTGAAGAGGAAGGCTGATGGAGAGTGAAGCATTAGAAAGTTAAGCCTGCGGGAATTTCCTGGAAGCTTTTGTTGTCAAAAGTGGACCTCTGTGGGAACCCGGAAAGAGGAAATCCGGTTTCAGAATAGCTGGGTCGTGTGAGAAGCAAAGAGCTTGTTTATATCCACTGAGTACTGAGGCTGTAACTCATCCTGGCTGCCATTCTGTAGATTCAGAGGCTTGACTGGGAAGTCATGGGAAGATGTGTGATGTTCTCACTCTTGTCACTCACACCTGATGCAGGACCTGAGGAAGGAGGAAGGTGGAGGGTCACTGTTAAAGCAGAAAGACAGGCTTCAGTGACAGAACTGTTCTGGTGCTGTTTTCCCTGCAGCTGCCGAGACTAATTCACCTGACCTCAGAAGAGCTCTCCCTCTTCCTTCTGCTTAAAACTTGACATGTTTCTTTGTAAATCTTCACCCCTTTTATGCTCATTCACCCCAGGTAGATACCCAAGTTGTGACTTGGAAAAGCCCACAAAACCAAATCTTGAAGACTTAGCAACAGGTGAACTGTGAAAGGGCTCCCAGAGATTTTCCTTTGAACTCCCAGAAATATGTCCATTTGGAGCGTTAATATTTCCCTACACTTTTACACTTTATTTATTGGGGAAGGGGAATGCATGTGTCACACTGCAGATAGAGGCCATAGGACAGCTTTCCCACGTCAGTTCTTCCAGCCTGTGGTTCCTAGGTATCAAAGTCAGGTCATCAGACTTAATGGCAACTTCCTTTACCTGCTGGGCCATCTGTCTTCCCCCTCCATATGTACTTATTAAGCATCTTCCAGTCCCCAGCATCACCTTACACATTAGAGATAGCATGCTTTGAGAATGTTTGCAATAAATCTGTCCCTAGCCAAATGTGAAATATCTGCCATCAAGGAACTCATAACAACATGGGACACTGAATCTTTAATAATCTGGCCAAAAAAAGTTGACAAATTCTAGGGCATCTAAAGGCTTTGCCAGTATGTATTAGTCAATAACCTATCTCAGCAGGTAGAATATGCCTTCAATTAGCCGTTGCTTAAATTCTAAGCCAAAGAGAGCCCCTCTCATCACTTTGAAAGAAAGATGCTCCATGTTGAGTTCCAGTTCTTTACAATAAGGTTGACAAAGTAATGGGCCTCACCCACCAAAAAAAAACAACACATTTACTAAAACATTAGCACTATGAACCCAATACCTGTCATTTTTTTAAGCCAGTGACCATTTCCCTGTGTCTTTCCTGGCGTCATGTCCTACTTTATCTCCATTCACAAATACGCAGTTCGCCCTAGGGGGAAGCCTCAGGCATAAGGCTGTAGTGATAGGAATCTATCTGGTCATCTGAATTGCCTAGTGGGTGTCTCTAAAGCACATTTTCTATGAGACAGAATCCAGATTCCTTATACTGCCTACTGACCAGGCATCTGCCTGCTGTTCAGCCTACATGGTGCCTCTGATAATCATGATTCAGAAGCATAGAGCAGACTTGGTTTGGTTTCCCTGGGAAAGTCCCCTCCCTTCACTACTTTTTGGCCCCTATTACCCAAAGACTCCACTTTTCCCTACATAATCTGTACACAAATGCTCAGGTGACTCCTCTGACTACCACCATTCCTAAATTCATTTCTTTGTTAAACAAGATACATCAGCAGTGTTCCTGCAGTATACTGAAACTACCACATTGCGTTACAGTTCCCTGTGGTGTAGGGCATTAGGCTGAAGACAATGAGAATAGCAGATTAAAAACTAACAAGTTAAAATGCTCCCAAACTGCAATCCTAGTTATAATTAATTTGTGTGTGTGTGATTACTGCCATTTGAGACTGGAGTTTCTTTTAATTGCTACCAAAGGCAATCTAAAACAAAGCTTTGTACCATTAAAATAGTGTTCTCCCCCACCCCCCAAAAAATGCTGTACTAGAACCCAGATGAAAAAGCATTTTGCATCAGAACACAGTGCTCAAGTATATATATATAAATTAGAGGCTGGAGAGATTAGAGCACTGGCTGCTCTTCCAGAGGACCCGGGTTCAATTCCCAGTACCCACATGGCAGCTCAGAACTGTAACTCCAGTTCCAGGAGATCCGACATTCTTACACAGACATAACTGAAGGCAAAACATCAAAGCCCATAAAATAAAAAGATTTCTGTTTAAAAAAGAAATAATAAATAATTACATATTCTCACAAGACATTATCCTTTACAAATATGCATCACCTTTTAACAGTGATGCTTCCAGAGCTGGGGAGATGACTCAGTTGATAAGTACCCACTTATCAAGCATGAGGCCTTGATTTTAGTTCACAAACCACAAAAAGCCAGGTGTGAAGCCAGGAAGACAGCTCATTGGGTAAATAAATGTGTTCGCTGCCAAGCCTGATAACCTCAATTTGATTCCTAGAACCCACACAATAGAAAACTGACTCCCACAACACTGACCACACATGCTGTGGCACATGTACAAATGATAGAAATTTAAAAAAAAAAGTTAAGCCAAGTGTGTTGGTATATCCTGTTACCCTAGTGCTGGAGGTGCTAGGCACAGACATGCAGATTGTAGAAGCTCACTGGCTGGCCAGCCTAACAGAACTGATCAATTCTAGGCTAAGGAAGTAATCCTGTCTCAAAAAATCCGAGGTTGACCTCTAGGCTCCACATACATGTGCACACACCCTTGGGAACATAAGCTACACACACACACACACACACACACACACACACACACACACACACACACACAGTGCTGATCTCAATTCACTTTTACAACCTAGTAATGAATTACAACCTGCTTTTACTGGCCTCGGTCTGCCTTTCAGTGCCTAAGCATTGCCTTTGCTGGATAAAATCTGGACATTACACTGACAGTCCTGCTACAGCCTGGCCCAGCCACACCCCAACCTTGCCATATTCCACTCTGGCTGAGGTTTATAAAACAACTGTGCTTTGTGTGGAGATGCTAAACTATATTGTTGATTATCCAAAATAAACAAAAAAAAAAAAAAGGAAGAAGGTTTCCTTCCCCTCCAGGGACTTAAATGCTGATAGTGATTGTTAAGAATGTAAACATATGTTGAATTAATTTCCCACATGTTTCATGTTCCAATATCCTGGAATATTTCTAACCAAGCCACAGATAGAAAACACCTGTACATTTCTACACTGGCAAAATTGGAAATGATGCCCTTATGATATAGCCACTGAGTTCCTCAAGCAAAGGTCAACGTTATTACAGTGGTCCAAACTCTTCACTTGATCTTTTAACCACATAGACCACACCCATACTGTATATTAGATTTGGAATTTATTCATCCTACAACTCAAAGTTGGACCCAGGACTAGGGTGGAGTTCTGTGGTAATGTGTACTTAGCATTCAGCAAGTCCTGAGTTCAATTTCCAGAACAAGAAAAAAAAAAAGAAAGAAAGAAAAGAAAAGAAAAAGAAAAAAGACAAAAAAGAAAAGAAAGTTAGAAGCAACAAGAAAGAAAAGATTAAAGCCAAAGCCATCCCATTTCCATTTCCTCTACCCCTTCAGCACTGACAGCCACAACCTATTCTTTTGCCCTTGTTCTGACTTTTTGTTTTACTCAGGATAATTTTTAATTAATACACCCCAAAGTCTCTGAGCAATACTCTAAAATACAATTAAAAATTAGCAAGAATGTTACACACTTTGCTGGCACAGGGTGGTTCCTTCCGTAGAGCAAAGGCTTTCCAGAAGTTTCCACATGATTTTACACTGTTCCCCCTTCCCCATTTTTAGAAGTACTAACTGAAAGGAGAACACTGGGTACAGAAGTAAGGGGTTAGCATAAGGTCATCGTTTTGCTGTTGTTGTTGTTGTTGTTGTTGTTGTTCTTTTAAATTTATTACTGTGTGTGAGAGAGAGATGTGTATGCATATGCTATGGCACACATGTGGAGGTCAGAGACAACTTTTTGGAGTTGATTCTTTCTTTCCATCTTTATGTCGGTTTGGGGAAATCAAACTGAACATTTGTCAAACTGATAATCAGTGATGATGCTGTTGTTGAGACAAGATCTCTCTGTGTAGCCCAGGCTAGCCTCCAGAGTGCTGAGACTAGATGTGTGCTTCACCACACC